TTTTTTTTTTTTTTTGTTTTGTTTTTTTTTTTTACATACACCATGCCCTGGAATAAGATGCTCACTTCATTTATGAGAGGCAGAATGAATAAAAATAGATATATGTATATAAATATATTTTATTCATTCTGCCTTTCATAAATGAAGTGAGCAACTTATTCCAGGGTAGGTGTGCATGGTATTTATTATATATTATGTTTCCTTGTAATGACCGAGTAGCAGCAACTGGAGACCTGACCCTCTCAGGAACCTGCTCAGCAACTGGCAGAAAATGCTCTTACCATTTTTCCCCACAGATAATATGCCCTACTTCCAGCAACAAGTATCCTGTATGTGAGAAAATATGGCATGTTTGACTGTCTTTAACAGATACCAGCAAGATATCCTCTTTTACTGCATTCTCAACTCCCAAGAACTTCTTTTGATAGCAGGCTCTGAGGCAGCCTGCTTTTCATAGATTTCATAGACATTTGGGCTGGAAGGGACCCCGGAGGATCATTGAGTTCAGCCCCCTGTCCCAGGGGCAGGAAGTCAGCAGGGATCATAGGATCCCAGCAAGATAAGCATCCAAATGTGTCTTGAAGGCCTTCAAAGTGGGTGCTTGAACTGTCTCCAGTGGCAGTCTATTCCAAAACTTGGGGGCTTGGACAGTGAAGAAGTTCTTCCTTAAGTCCAGCCTGAATCAGTTGCAGTGGAATTTATGACTGTTCGATCTTGTCATCCCTTGGGGTGCTCTGGTGAACAATCATTCCCCCAGATCCTGGTGAGTGCCCCTGATAAACTTATAGGTGGCCATCAGATTGCACCTGAGCCTGCGCTTTTCCAGGCTGAAGAGTACCATAGCTCTCAGCCTGTCATCGTAAGGTTTGTTTTCCTGCCCTCTGATCATGCGTGTGGCTCTTCTCTGGACTCTCTCAAGCTTCTCCATGTCCTCTTTGAATTATGGAGTCCAGAACTGGACACAGTACTCAAGCTGCACCCTCACCAAGGCCAAGTACAATGGGACAATGACGTCCCAGGATTTGCTTGAGAAGCATCTATGGATGCAAGCCAGCATTTTGCTAGCTTTACTAGCTGCAGCATCGCACTGCAGGCTCATGTTCATCTTGTGAAGAATCATGTGGCTTTCACATAGTACTGTCAATTCTCACACTATTACTGAGAATCTTCCAATGTTTGCCACCTCCCTCCCTACCCCCGGCTTTTAAGAAACGGAAACCCAGCTCCCTGAATCCTGCATCTGAGAATCTTAGACACTACTGCCAAGATGGCAGGAAAAAAACCGGCAACACAACAAAAAAAATTGTACTTTTTTTTTTTGTTTGTCTTTCAGTCAGTCTTCAAAGGGTTAGATTATATAACTTTGAGTCCTGTTCTATTATATACAGAAAAGGACTAACTTGGGCAAGAACAGTAGATTCATAAAACTTCAGGAACTGGCTTGGGACAGCTAAATTCTGTTCCTGGTTATCACCAATGCACGGCCCAAAAATTCACTCCCTTGCTCCCCCAACCCCAAAAGCTCATGTGCAAGTCTTGTCAGAGACTAAGGCCTTTGGGGCAGGAACAGTCTTGCTACGTGTTGGTATGACACCAAGTTCAGCAAAACCTATTGGCACTACCCACTGGGGGTGGGGGGGAAGAAAAAATAAATAAATAAATAAATCACTGGTTCTCTCCTGCGTAAGATCATAGACAGCCCACAGACAAGTTAATGTGCCTTGCCTTGGGTAGCTTTTTATTTAGAAGGATCTGAGCTATATCTCAAGTATCCAAGAGTGCCTTGTACAAGGTTTACCTCCTCAGCAAGCCTTTCTGTATATCAAGTCAGTGCCTTCCAGGTTTCTTATGCAGCCTGGTAGGTCTTAAACTAGTCATCAGCTGGAGATGGAGGTGGTGGCGGTGGGAGAGTAGAAAGTGGAGAGGAAATGCACTCTGTCTCAGGCCCCAAGTAGCTTGCACGTGAGCCAGGCTCTATCAGGGAGGGCTTCTTCACAGCATCACCTTCTTTCCCACTGTACTGCAAGAATCTGGGGAGAGGGAAGTGAACAAGGTTGATGTCAGTATAGAAAATTGAGGGGGGTGGGGAGGGGACAGGAAGGAAGAAAGGGGGAGAATACATATCCTCTAGCACTTGTATAAAAAGACTTGCTGATGAAAAAACCCTGACATATTTGCCTTTTTTTTGAGCCAAAGTGGTTGTTGTTATTGTTCCCTTACTTGAAAGTGGAAGAAACTGAAGGCGAAGAAAGGGTTGCTGATCTTGGGTTTCAGCCCAGCAGCAGCACAGGGGACTCAGCACCTTTTATAAGCCACCAATTCCCATATATTTACTCGTGTGGGAGCATCTTTTTGGAAGAGAGATTTATCTTGCTTGTGAAGGTCTTTTTAAGACCTAACTGGAAGGGCACGGCTATATTGAAGGAAGACGCTGTATTCAAGATGCAAAGACAAAAGGGAAATGTTTGAACTTGAGCAAGTGATTAGGAACCTCCTGGACATCCCTGTCATTGTTAGGGATATCTCCCAGCCTAGAACCTGAAGTTTGGGCCCAGCTTACCAGAGTGGACAATATTCCAAATTTCAATCACTCCTTCAGTATAATAGCATAGATCAGCCCAGCACACTTATAATTTAATGGAGACCAGAATCTTAGTTGGCATCTTATTGCTAAGATCTGGTTCTGTCGTCAGACAAATACCTGTGCCAGTCCCACTAGAGTCCTTTGGGGTAAACTGCTCTGTCCTGACTTCCTCTCATAATTGGCCCAACTGACTTTCACAGGATTTCATGGGAAGTTAACTGTTGCAGAATATGGCTTAGATTGTTTGGCCATTCTGTCCAATGGACGGTGGGGTTCACACTGTTACCATTAGTATTACACAAACGACCAATTTATCAAATCAAGACCGAGACCTTATGAAAGGGGGATAAGGCAAAATATATTGATTACATGAATCAGATACAGAAGTTCAGATACACCACTCATACAAAAAACACACGCATATCATCATACAAATAACACACAGGACATACAGACACAAAACCACCATTCCATTCAGATGTTATAGTTACCAACAGCAGTTGCTCAATAATGGCACTGGGTGGCCAACCCAGGCCTATTGAGAAGACAAAGATAGAAACTGGAGTGGAGTAAATAGACATGTCTGTGCTCCGAAGAAAGCAGCAGTCAAGAAAGGCTCACTCAACCTGGCATTTTTCAGAGTCCTCTTTTATAGGGATTGCCATCCTTTGTTTCAGCACTTCGGGTTTTTTTCATACTGAATTTCTGTTTTTGCAGTTGTTTCTCATCCATCTTCTGCTCATCTCAGCTCAAGGTCATGTAGGTCATAAAAGTTGGTATCTCAGTTCTTGAAGAGTCCTTGCTGCCCATCTGGCAGGATATGCTACATTCCTTTTCTTCATTATCTCCTTTGTGCTGTAGGCCTCAGAGGGATTCTTCAGCCATCCATTAATTAGTTTACCGACTTATAACTTACACATTTGGCACCTTGTTGCTTACATAAACAGTTAAGTTTTCTTTTTCCTGCCTCCATGCCATTCTCTCTCTCTCTCTCTCACACACACACACACACGCTAAGCAAGACAATACAAAATGGAATCTTTGGCTACTCATAGAATATAAGGTTAACATATCCAGAGAGGCCTCCTATCACTATGACATTATTCTACTAACATTAAAATCAATATCAAAGCAGCTCAAATTCATACTACATTAGAAAAATAAGGTCCTTCTTCCAAATTAGAAGCTGTTCTGCCATAGTAGCCTGGAGATACTAGCAAGTTTCTCCTTCTTGAGCCTGTTTGCTTAGCTCCTCAGCTGCTTTCACAACTTGGATGCAAGCATGACAGCTATAGCTGGCCAGTTTTCCCCTATCTAGCTGTGATGGGCTGGTCTGAGCTAGCACCCAGATACTAGGGTGCATGGCATTTCTAACATACCCAGCAATCTCCCTATAGCCTCCAGCCCTTGATTAGAAGACATGCATCACCTAGGAAACAAGACTGAGGATACAAATTCAACCCTTTCAACCAGTGCAGTTAAGTCCTGTCTCTGCCCAAGACAAGAAAGCAAGGAGCTATTTTCACACATACCGCTGGCACATAGTTGATCTTCGTCCCAGCATAGCCATAACAAAATCCTTGTAAGGAACAGTGCTGCCTGTGTTCCCAGTGATGTCTTGGACTTGCACCCTGAGCTCCAACAAGCTTCGGAAAACTTGGAACTCCCTCAGTAGGTTGCTCAGTGTTGGATAGTCTGAAATTAAGCCAGGCTCAGATATGTTCCATGTCACAGAAGTTAGAGGTAGAAGAGACTTATTTATCACCTACTCCTGCCCCTCCAATATTGTCCTCCACATTGGAGATACAAATAAGATCTGGAGTTTATCTTCACTGAGAGTTTTAAGAAATTGTTCTATGGCTATTCTGGGCCAGAGGAGCTCCACATGTCTACCAGCATGCCGCAATAGCCCAGGCACAAGTAGTCCTAGCTCCAGGCAGAATTCAAGGTCATTACATTGCATTTGCCTCCATTAGAGCTCCTATACTGTTCCAGAGCAGCCATAGGAAAATTTCAGGAAATGTTTTGCATAGACAAGTCCCTGTGGTATCAATATGGTGATCTATGGTATACACCATTTCTTGATGTTTGTAGACAGAAGGGGCTTACACTAGTCCTGAAGGGACCTGCAGAGCAGCCTCAGTGATAAGGTTCTTCTAAATTTAAATCAGTTGGTCAACAAAAGACTCCAATATGGAAGGTTCCTAAAGGTCTTTAATACCTAGAGTGCAAGTGACACCTCATTTACCTACTTCTCCCCTCACCTCTTTGGCATTATGATAAACTGTTACATGATGACCCCCAAGCAAAGAAAGAAGAGGCATTGAACCAAGGTGCATATCCTACCATGGCCTCCACACATTAATTCTAAGGTAGTACAGGAGAGAATGGCACCTTGCCCCTCTGGATACAAGGTGTAGGTAGTCTCAAGAGAAATACAAGCATTTGGGAGAAGTGGGGAATTTTCATGTTTGTGAAGTGCTTCTTAATAGGAGACTCAAGCAAGGTCTATTTGGGACTGGATAAGAAACCTAATAAAAATATCACATACAAGGAGAAAGACATCCCATTGCTATCCTATCAAACATTGCAACCTAGGTCTTAGGTGGTTACTAGCTATGAACCATGTAGCCTTGCATTCCCTAGTCATGACAGCCATCTTGCAAACCTGGCAAGCATGTCTTTGATGTTCTACTTCCCATATTCAGGCACTGGGATTTTTCTTCCCTTGTTACAGAGCATTAAAGTGACCCCAGGAGACTGAACAGCTATGGGACAAACTTGTACTCAGGTGATCATTTCCCTCCCCCATCCTCAGCCTCATCATTCTGAATAGCACCTTTGGAGCCAGGGATATGATCCACCAACACCAAGGAGTTTCCTCAGCCGGTCTGGGATTAGCTACCAGAGTAAGCTTTAGTTAAAAAAGCTGATGGTACATGTTCTTTAGGTCAGACCCAGTTCAAATCAATGATAATACTATTGTATCTGCTGTGATTTTTTTCCAGCCCAGGTCTACTTCCCTTTATGGCTCTTATTTTGAGGATTAAAAGGAGAACCTCCTCTATACAGTCTCTCTTGTGAAGTAAGATTGAGTGTTACACCTCAGCACTTCAGTAGACATACTAGCAGAGCAAGGGGCCCTTCAGATCTGCTCTGCTGGAAGAGGGAAGCCAGGTCTACAAGCAATGAGAATTAAGTGGCATTGTACCAATTTCTCCTGTGTGCATAGCATCGTATTCCAGAAATGCACCTAGAAGAGAGAGAAGTCACCATTTTCTTAAACCAGACTTGCTGCACTTGCTTTGATCTTCTACAGCAAATAGCCATATGGAGATGCACATCAAAGGTTACTTGCCCAGGTGTCTGGGTACCCACCACCCCCAATTCTGTGGCAGAACTGATTGAGGGATGGTAGCGCTCTCTTTCACACATGCAATCAGTCATTTAACTTAACATTTCTCAGGGAATTTCTGCAAATGTTACAGATGTTTTGTTCTCTCTTAGGCTATTCCATATTTGGGTACCTGCCATTCACACACCTGGATAGGGTCTATTTCAGCTAAAAATATAAGGAGATTCCATTGGCAAGAACTGTACTGTCAGGCTAGAGATAATGACAAAAGCTGTTGCAATCAAGCAACTGACATGTGTTAGAGAGACAGCATAGGTCTCAGGAGCATTCTCTCCCCCTACAGCCTCTTCAGCATCTTGAGGCTGAATTTGCAGCTAGTGGAAGCTAGCACAGGCATTACAAATCAGTAGAGCTGTGTCAATTCACACCAGCTGGGTGTATGGGTTAAAGTCCCAAGGTCTCTATAGTCCAACTCAGTAGTGCAAAACCAAATTAAAATTACAGTATTTTTAAATTGGGGGTGGGAGGGGGAGGGAAGGAGAGTCATTGTCCTGTTTGTCGACTTGATTTATATGCCGCTTATTCCTAAACTTCTGCTTGTCCAATGAACAGGAGACCCAAGAATTACCACCAGCTACAGCCAACAGTGATCTAAACGCATAGTCCACATATGCTGACTAACTCAGACAGTGTTATGATTGCAGTACGTGTTGGGAAGTCCTTAGCAAAGCTCTGGTCTCCCTGAATATCTAGCTACCTGTTTTGGTGTTACAAAACTATCCTCTACACATCTCTCTTGTCATCAGGATGGACTTACCCTTTAGCAGTTCCAGTTTTTCCTGGAGATTTGGAATATCTTGGAATGGTTCATCAGCCAGGTACTCCTGTTCATGCAGAGAAGTGTCACCAATTGCTCTCCCTGGGCTTGTGGCATCCCCTAGGTGAGCCTATCCCAGTTCTGAATCATTATCAGACTCTTATCAGCTTGTATTTGAGAGACTCTGAGTTTGCACCCTCACCCCCACCCCCTAGTCTCTGACCATGCCCACAACCAGCCCCACCCCCTGCAGAACAAGCCACACCCCTGGCTCTGACCACACCGGCTACAACCTAGGCCATGCCCCCACCCATAATAGCAGGGGGCAGAGGCCCCACCCCCACCCTGTGGCCACAACCTTTGAC